AGGGCGTTATCAGCGAGTTTCTTGGACCATTTGAGGGGAGGAACACCGTGTTTGGCCCTGAGTTTATTGTGTTGGTCCAGACAATCCTTGAAAAATCCTGTTGGCTCGCCTGCAAATCAAAAAAGAGCTCATTTCATGATATAACTTTATGCATGACACTCTCCCTGCATTTTTAACGGCAAAATGGTGGGCACTCGATCGTTCAGACTTTGAGGATTGACTAGGAGAAAGGTCGAGTGATTTTAGGACGCCATTTCGTTTTGCATTTCATATTTCATTTTACCTGTTGCTTTTTCTTCACCACTAGACGTAGTTGTAGCGCTAGCCGTAGTAGCAGCCTGAGCAGTAGGGGTTACTGCACCAGTAGGTGGTTGTGGTGTCCATGGAACAGGTCCTGCAAGTAAAAAAGACGCATTTATTTGGGATTCTATGTAAAAAGTCTTACAAAGACTTTGAACTATATGGGACACATCCAAAACTTCTTTCTGCTTTAGCAGGGAATATATGTACCTTTATTTCTCTCACAGATGTATCCCCTGGGGATCCAATCAAGTAGATCGTTAAATCCCCCTTGGGTCCCTGGAGGATAGTTTTTGGCCATCACAACGTAAGGTCCATCCCCAGATGGCTGTCCTCTTTGCCAGTGAGTGATTGTCAGAGGAGCATCATTCACCCATTTCCATGTCGAACCGTCCTTCATCAGACCAATGTGCCACTCATCGTGGAATTGATTGCTAAGTCCTTGAATCTTGTTCTTGAGGAATCTCCACTCGCCTTCTGTTTCTATAGAGACCAAATCTCCTCCTTTCTTCTTACACTCTTCTCTGTTTTCCGTCCACTTGGTTCCTTGTTTGTTGAAATAGTAGCAGGAACTACCATAGTTGTTTCTACAATCAATCACTAGCAATAGTAGGATAGAAGGATTAAGTACTGTTAAGGGCAATCAATATATTACTATCTTCTGTAGACGACACTCGCTCTACAAATAAATATCTTCATTAGAGAGTAAGACCGTCGTTAAAAAAGACGGATTACAGAGAATACATTTCATGGGCATGCAAACACATTCCACTGCCGTGCGGTGTTTGATGGTAGTATATGTTAATCTCAAAGCAATTGTATGTGATTTTTATCTTGGAAAATATTCTTGGAATTCAACCACATGACTTAAAATCCGATAAACATCCGCCTTCGAAACCATGATATACTACATCAAAAATACTTATAAAATCTATAGTCGGTCTTTATACCTAATTTGCTGTTGGGGCCTGACTTCAATGAAGATGTAGTAGGGGCAACAGAAGCAGTGTTCTCACTTGTAGTTCCCTTACCAGACGGACCAGTCATTGCAGGGGCCGGTGTAGCTACAGTAGTCGTTCCTTCTATACTTTCTGGTGTTGGCCGATTTGGTGCAAGAGTAGAGCCTGGACCCTTTAGTGGTGGAACATTCTTGATAAATCCCTCTACTCCACCTGTATTTCCCCCTATCCAGTACCTCGCTACGATGTATATATTATTATGACCAATTGCGGTTGCTAACCCCACGCGTGTTGATCTAGCCCAAACAACTTGAGTGAAGTGAAGTACGATTCCTCCGTTCTTGCTCTTTGCTCCGGCAAAGTCATAATTATTGATTTCGTTGTACCAATCGTTGATGACTTCTCGACACTGGAAGCAGTTGCCTACTTTAGGACCTTCACATTGGGGCTGTGGTGGACCAAAGTATTTGATATTTTCGCCTTCGTCTCCTTTGTTAGGGTCGTGTTTCATATTTCCTATCTTGGCGTTCATTTTGGCTGTTTTCAAGGCATTGGTAGCGAGCTTATCGGACCATTTGAGGGGAGGAACTCCGTGTTTGGCTCTGAGTTTGTTATGTTGGTCCACACAATCCTTGAAAAACCCTGTTGGTGGCACATCTGCAAAGGGTATTTCCAAGCAAAACGGCCATTTATTAGAATTATGAGAAATTATAATAATATGACATGAAAAATATCCCTAGAAACGTGTATAGGGCTAACTGCAAGTCTATCGTGCAGTATATCATTTAGACAGTCAAAGACGTATCTGTCTGTCTGTCTGTCTGTTTCTTTTGGTCGTTTGTTTGTCTCAATCTATAGGGGCAACCATTAGAACAAGTATACAGTACCGCCATCATTAAGCGTTTCTTGAATAGCTGGTGTGTTTGTCGGAGCCACTGTCGTAGATTCCATGCTCGTTGCTATAGTGACAAACCAAAAAATAAAGTTAGCCAATTATGATACAGATTGTTTCTACAAATGAACTTTGGATTCAAATAAACCCTTGTATTCAGTACATTGATAATTCTTTTCTAGAGGAACTGAGCTGTTTGTTGTATCCACTGCATTTCCCATGCTTGTTGCTATGGTCACAAACAAAACAAAAATGTTACTAAGCAAATATTACAATCCTACATCGTATTTTCAATTATCAATTGCACATAAATCTTCACAGCGGTAGTTCATTTTACTCGACAAAATAGCCTCAATTTCAAAATACCTTTGTCGTACTTATTTTTTGATACTTGGGTAACAGGATTGCTTGTAGTTGCCAAGGTTTCTTGGCTTGTTGCCATAGCTACCAACGGAAAAGAAAGATGAAATCAATTCATAAGTTTTGCCTGCATCTAGCCTCGCCATTCGATCCCAGAAGTATACACAACGAGGTCGTTACAAATATTATTTTGAACTTTCGAAGAGAGGAATGGTGAAAGATGTTAACACATCAGTGGACCCTTCTCAAAAATATCGTGGATGCGAGGATAACATGGAAACACAAAAGTAATCACGCTTTTTCTCAATAGAATTTGTGGCATTTCTTATGTATTTCCATGTTGACCTCGCGTTGGAGACAATTTTAAGAAGGGTCCATTGTTTTAAAATAAACCAACAAACTGGGTCCCTTGTGCGAAAGTAAACCTATCGTTACCATGGTCTTTTTCTGCATTCTGGTTGCCTTTGTAGCACCATGTGCTTCCTTCGCTGTTGTACCAATTTACATCGGGCTCATCCTTAAAAACATCGTCATAGCAACAGCCGGCTCTGAGACAAACATCTGGAGTCATGAAGGGACTGGAGACATTTCCACATTTCTCACGCTGACCAGACTTGATCTGACATGCGGGCTCTATAAGGAACAGTTTCGTGATTAGCTCGCCAAGTTCACCACCACACTAACAGCCGCTCCTATGTTTTAAAGTGCCTATCACCCTTCTGACAATATTTACATTATTGATTCTACATGGGGTAAGATGTCGAATAACCTGGAAAAAAAATTCATAGTTTGAGTGCGGCTTCTTGAAGTTATGAAGGTTTTTCCATGTCATATGCTAATGCGGTGATGTATGAGGAGGCATTTATGGTTATTTGTTGTTCCTTGTAATTCGAAACACCGGCTACTATGTGAACAATAGCTTGCAATAATTTCTATAAGAGCAATGGGCAAAACAATGACGTATTTCAAATTTAATTTATCTGTGCCAGTAAGGGTTTGTATATTAAATGATTACTCCTCATGCGTCACAGCATTAGCATATGGCATGGGAAAACCTACATAACTTCAAGAAGCCGCACTCAAACTATGAAATGTTTCCGCGCTTTTCCACATCTTACCCCATGTAGAATTAATACTGTCAATATTGTCAGAAGGGTGATAGGCACTTTAAAATCTACCACAGATAGCCACATTAGTTCTTCGCATATTAAACAGTTGGTGCGGGCTCCCCGTGTCTAAAAATCTACCACATGAGATTCTTACCAGGATCTCTTGCAGCTGTAATTTGAATGTTATCATTCAACGCCTTTCCTCCAGGCATTGTGCCGTAGTGTGACGTCACATATGTACCATCCCCAGGAATCACGTGTATGCCACACCCTAGTCGAGTGATATCTGGACGGACTATTGTCTGAAAATTCACTGGAGCCGAGGTGCGATCCATCATGCCACCTTTTTTCTCTGTATACCTAGCGAAAAATAGAAACAATAGTTAAAATGAATTATGAACTCTGCAGGTATCTAATTTTAGAATCAATCAGACAGCCAATCAAATTCTACCAAGTATGCCATTCAGCTCGTATGCAGCTTTTTACAAAATGAATAAATTGGGCTATAAATAGGACTTGTGAATGACTTACCAACTTCTGACGGCACTCGGAACAGCAGCTCTCGTATCCGCCATGCCTTCCCAACCCCACTGTTTCCACGAAATACTCTCGGACACTTGACCCAGATTTCGCCATGGAGACCGCTTAAGTTGTCCTTTCTGAGCCTGCAAGTCAGTCCAGGCCTGCGCGGACTCGGCCAGGTCAGGGTCGCATCGTACAGGAGGCAGGTTATGTAGAGCACGGTAATAATTATGCTGTGTCAGACAAAGTTTCTGACATTCTGGTCCACAAGCTAAAAAGGATTTGCAATATGGAGAAAAACTTTAACATCTAACAAAAAACATCATCGGCTGTAGAGGCGTGTCTTTGGGGTGCCTGTGACGCAGTTCCATTAGCCACGAGTTTGTTTGCAAAATCTGTATGTGTTTTAGATAGAAGGGAGTATATTGGGAAGTGAAATCCGAGACTGGTACTAGAGTTAAGTTTTTTCAAAAGTTGAATTAATCTATGGTTGAGTTAATAATAATACTTTATTCAAAAAAATGCAGATTACATATTTTGAAAAGGAAGACATTGAGGTTAGCCCTATATAAGTCCCCTAA